CACAGACACACATAATAAATGTGGAAACGTGCCCAACATGGGGTGTGGCCGGATATGTACGTGGTGGCCAGTAGATTGGGCCAGGGGATGGATGGACTGCCTGGCGCAGGCAATTTGACTTGTTTTGGGGCAGGCGGGAATTTCAATACCGACTATTCTGCATATTGATGTGCATAAATGCAGCCTTTTTTATAGATATATACATATATACGTGACGATATATATATATATATATATATGACGATATATATATGTATATATAAATATATGTATGTGTATATGTATGCGTATATATGTCTATACGTGTATGTACGTGTACACGTTCATCCTGGTTTACATGCAAACTTGTAATGGATATGTACATGTGGCACGGTGCCAATACATCCAGCGCACCGGTTCATCATGCAAGGAGTAGGGGTTTGATGATCTGGAAAAGACCAGAAAAGAAGGAAGAACAAAAGGAAAATGCCCTCTTTTCTAAAGGCATACTCACACTAAGAGTTCGTTGACTTATCTCTGGACGTGATTGAGATCGGATTCATCCTGGTCTGGGCCTAGTTCAGCGGTCAGATGCATTTAAGAAAGTGCTAGTGTGAGTATGGCCTTACAAACCCGGACATCTAGAATCAGATAATGCCAAGCTGGCATGCACGAAGATATATCCCATTAAAGAGCCCCCTTGGATGCCAGGGCACCCGGGCCGCACCCCCGCACTCCTCTGTTCTTGCCCCCCAACTGAAATGCTAATGAGCCCCCTCGGAGGTGAGGGTGCAACTTTTTCCAGACTGGGGGAATATATCCCCTATACTCTCAGATCAGATTTAAGCAGCCTTCCAAAAAAAGAAAAAAGAAAAAAAAAAAGTCAATGGCCAGAAATGAAGAGTCCCAGGGGTAATTGATAACTACTCCGCAAAATGACTTTAGGTGTCATTTTTGCACCCTGGTTGGGCCGGTTGAGCACTTTCCCTCAATTTTGCGCAGGGGCCAATAAGGGGCCCAGCCACGGTGCAAAAATGACACGGGAAGTCATTTTGGGTCCTGCTGCACTTTTTGCCTTGTTGGGGGGCAAATGGGTACAAAAGGTTTTTGTCGCAGGGGGGATTAATAACTTTTTCCATTTTCTTTCCCCCTCCCAACTTAACGTTGCAAGCCATCATGAACGCACGCAAACCTTGTTCCTGTCTAGATGCATCCGTGGTGATAAAGCATTGTGTTTGGGGGAAGAGGTTAACAGACGAAGGACAGCTTCAAGTTCAAGGCTAGCCCCATGCTGCAATATGCCTCCGGAACACAGTTTTCTTGGGGGAGGGGGATGGGAAGAAGGGGGGG